CAATTTCTTGGCTTTGCAGCCTAAAAATATAGCAATGGGACTACAGGGAGAGAAAAACTGCTGATTATCAGGGCTGGTTGTTTTTTGGTTTTGTTTTTCTTTTTTTTTTTTTTTTTTAAGCAAGTGAAATGAGTAGGCTGTATTTAGGAAACTACTTTGTTATTAGAGGCTAAAAGAATATTTTCTAGAGAGTGAAGTCAGCATCTCATGCCCAGGCTTTGGGGGATCAGTGACTTCCATATCTGATGTTCCCTGTTCAAGTCCTAGTCTACTCCCAGGAAGTTTCTAGAGGACCTCTGCTGATGATAAAGGTAGATAACACTAGAAAGATGGTGCTAAAAATAAATATCTAGCTTTTCACATGCTTTCCCTTGAGGACTTTCATGGTGTTAAACTGTATGTAGTTCTTGCATAGCTCCTCTTGGTAAGAGGGGGTAAGGAAAACCCTATGAAGTCCCACTTTCTACCCCTTGCATTCCAGTGGATGACCAGGATTTTGAGTCTCTGTGCTCTAAGAAAGCTGCCTGTGCTTTTCTAATGTGCCCCACCAGTGGATAGACTACTCAAGATGAATCTCTTTTCCCATTGGTATTTATATAGGAAATACCCATTTTTTAGCTTCTCCCATTAAGAAATTGAGAGAAGGCTTGGTCGAACCGTGCTGCCTAACTCTATACTGATATGCAGTTATGTCCATGAGGCACCAGTGCCACAGCTGCTTTCAAAATATTTGCTTTTTGCAGATATTGTTGCCTGGAAGAGGGAGCGTGGTCTCAACAAAGCCTTCCCTGCAAGCAGTGAATCACAAGGCAACGAGCCACGGGAAAGGTTAATCTAAAAACTCAAGGTGCGCAAAAAAAGATGGCACTAATGTTTATCTCCCTGGCATAGGAACAGTGCCCATAATAGCCATCTGTGGAAAATGGAGATATTCCAGCTCGTGGAAGGCACCACAACGGCGCTCTGGTGAATTAATCACCCGCTGTTTGAGGCCCTCACCTCACACGCGGGATGCATTTCGTGTCTCGGAGATATTCTACGCTGAAAGCTGTGTGCTGAGATACCATGGACTTCTTTCTGTGCACAGCAGTCGTGAACCTTCCTCATTTATTTTTTCAGTCATAGGGGAGGATTATTTTCAGAACAACAGGGTCTGAAATTTAAATGTGTGTGGGTATCTAACAGGCTGATGTTGCTGAAGCCTTTTACGCTCTCTCATATTAGGAGATTAGTTTGAGACAAGATCTTTTGATCCTCATAAAGGTTTAATGTTATTGTGTAGCTAAGCTGTTAATAATTGGCTAGAGATTTTATAGATATACGTATATGGTTTCCACTGAGGTTTTAAGCTAAAGAGTGATTTCTCATACCCTTCATATCCCAGTCCAGATGTTCAAGTCCTATTTTGCTATGTTCTAGCAGATGGATGCCAAAAATTTAGGGAAATTTACAGTGTTTCTCAATGTAGTGTATATAATAGATCGTATTATTGAGCTAGGAGGTAGAAGAGTGAAGACTATTGCCCCCATTTCTTCAGCTATTTTCCTCACTAGCAACAGAAAGTACTTAATTCTTAAGCTCTAATGGTGAGAGTTCTCCAAGGCAGCATTATTTTTTCCTCTCCCAGGCCAACTATAATGCAGCTGACTAACATTAAGTCCCTCCTGATTAATTTAATGGTAGCTAAATAGTGCAGAAATAGTGAGAAGCCACCAATTCTTCTCTTGATAACCCTGCCTTCCCGATGTCTGCGGTAGTCAGCAGCATGCTGGCCAACATACAGAAGTCTTTAAATTAAACAGGCATTTCAGTTTTCCTTTCTGACTAATAATTTTCCTTTTTTAAAATCCCAAATCCAGTGCTAGACATTCAGATCTTCTTGTTATTTGCATGTCTCAAAAGCAACACGATCTAAAGAATGATAATGCCACTTGAATGTATAGATGGATCTAGAAAAGACATTTTGGCTTAGAGAAGAGCCAAGAAATAATTGATATTTGCAATATGTCAGGTAGCTATAGCTTTAGCCATAGTATTGAAATTTAATGCTATGCACGGGGTTTTCTGAATTGGAATCTTTAGCTCAAGATGTTGTAATGACAGACTAAAACCTTAATTTCCTTAAATCTGAAAAACGTCTGTAAACATTTTGTACCAGAGACCATAACTTGAATTTTCTGACTTTTGAGCTTGTTACAAGTCACACATCTCTTCACTCATGGGAAATGCAGAGGAATTTTTGTTTATTTCCTCAAAAAGCAATGGGCAGAACAACCACGGTTCCTATCTCAGCAGTTTAAGTTTTCTGGATTTCCCTGAGTCATCTCCAGTTTGTCTATATATGAACAAATAGACAAATTGAAGGCAATGCAGAGAAAAGCAACAAAAATGATACAGGGGCTTAGAAAACATGACCTGAGAGGAAATATGAAGATGACTGAATTTATTTAATTTAGAGAAAACTGAAAAGAGATATGCTAAGAGGTTGCAAGTACAGAGAGAATGGGGTGGATAATTGCTCTTCATGTCAAATAAGGACACAAAAAAACATTATGGGCTATTTTGCACCATTGAAGATCAGCTTACTGGTATAGATGAGAAGACTGTCTCACTGGAGATTTTTTAGAAACAGAGTACAGAAGTGTCTTTCAGGGATATTCTGGTTTTTGCTTTTGAGTAGAACTGGATTAAGAGACTACTGAGAAACCCCAGCCCTACAATTCTGTGATTTCCCGATCAGTCCGTCCACAATTCCAGGAAAGAAGTCTTTAATCTGTACTTATTCTTTCACCAGGATGTCTATTAGCGAGCCCTTCCATTGCCTCTTAGGAGGAGACAAGTACTCCTTTCTTCTGAAGTGACAAGTGTTTTTGTCCCCATCACAGCTCATTTCTCAATGTAGGAAAAAAAAAAAAGCCTAAAAAGGATGGCACTTTTAAATTTTACTCACTTGCTGCTATAATATTTATTGTTTTAAAATAAAATGCCTTCAGTATTGTAGAAAAAAAGTAGAAAGAGGATATTTTCTTGTCAACTGCAAACCTCTAATGTTTCACAAATGTTTTTGAATCAAGTTTGGCAGCAGAGCACTGGAATAAGTATAGTTGGATGGTTTTTCAGGATGTCAAGTGTATAGCTGAAGTGATTGGGGTCAGAGTGGAGATAAGACATTAGGGAGAGTCCAGAGAGTCCAGCCTGCAAGTCTTCTAATCACCAACCATCTTCTTGTAAAGTGTTTCTCTTTTTTATTTATTTTATTTTATTTGCGACACAGACTCTTTAAAATCCATACAGCTACGAAGAGTGGTGTTTTGCATCATGTATCATGGTCAAGCCCTCATCTGCACAGTAAATGTTAGCAGCTGGGTTAATTGTGAGGATATAGGGCATCTTTTAAGGTTTATAGACAGCTATGCTCTTGGAGGTACTGCTTTATCTGTTACTGTAGCCCTAATGCTACCTCTTTGAAAGCAGCCTTTGGCTGCGGAGTGCTACTATTTAACAGGTTTAACATTACTAAAAATTGAGATGCTGATGCCATTATTAAATTTCATTCTGCACACAAGCAAACAGTTTATCATAGTCTGTTCCCAGCAATTGTAATCCAATTTTTGTTATCTCACATTGTTTAAAAGAGAGAGAAAGATAGTGTACATCAATCTGATAAAAATGTTTAAATAACTGGTGCTTTTTTGTGATTATGCCAGTTTTATAGCAGCATTATGGAAACACGACAGGGTAACTAAAATCTGATTACGTCTAAGTCCTTGCCCATTATGTGATTATTATGAACCATGACTTCTACTGGCACATTATGAATTACATGGTCATAATACAAGGGATTTCCAATATAATTAACTGAGATTAGCAGCACTAGAGAAATCTGGGAATAATGATACAACTTTGAACAATCAGTTTTACTGTAAATGCTGCTAGCTCTGGCTTCCAGGAACCAGGAGGCTGGTGGATGTAACTGTGACCTACCTGCTGGGGTTTCCTACACCTCTCTCTTCTCTCCCCCTGTGGAATTAATTGCAACCTTGCCAGAGTGTTAGGAACTCCCTCTTTTACTCTTTTCTTCTCATATTATACTGGTAAAACTCAAGGCTGGCTAAGATTTTCAAAAACATCAAAGGTCTTTAGATACCTCCTTTCGGGGGGGTTCAGGCTGAAACTGGAAAGGGCTCTGCTTTTGAAAATGTAGAAATACTATTGAAGAACAGATCCGTTGAAGACAGCTCAATTTGGAGCACTTAAAGGCAGAAAGTCATGAAAAATCACAGATTAGTTTCAAAGATCACAGCCAAGGTCGTGTTATTTCTTTAGTATTTCAGGCAGGCAAGAAGTATTTCTTTCCATGATAAACCCAGGTCTTGGCTGCCAAAGAGAAAGCTGACTGTGTCCAGAGGGGGTTGCTCACTTCTGGACCCATCCTTTCTCATGCAGGAAAAAAAAAAGAAAAGGATTTCTACACAGATCCGATGGCCATCTTCTAGCTTTAGAGAAAAAAAAGTGAAATGGAGTGCATGATGGAAATGCTGTAGGAGGGAAAAAATAGACTAAACCAGATCTGGTGTTTAACAAAAGGGTTAACCCTTTCACCCCATAGTGCATGGACACCTGGGGTAGGGTGGGAACTCCCCTGACTATTGAGATATCCTTTGCCCCTGATAGAGCTGAGATTGAAAAGAACATTGATATATTTTTTTTCACTCTATGCAACTTAAATTTCCTGCACTTATAAATACGGTTGAAGACTTAGAGAAAATACAAAATCACCTGAGATTTTTTGGTTTAGTCCAGCGCCTCCCTCCTTCTGGGATTTATTTATAGCTCTTAATTTTCAGATTTCATGTGAAATTGCACCTCGGGATTTTTATTAAACCACACACGTCCCAGGTTTGTGCTCTTTGCTCACTTTGCTATTATTGCACCCAGCCAGTACCACGGCAGCCTTTCATTTACTTTGCTGGGGTGGTCGTACGTCTTTAACCCCGTACCTCCAGTGCTGCTGAGAACTGCTCCGCTGCTGCCGCGTAGTCCTTCTGCCCGTAGCACGTGCTGCCCTCCTGCAGGGCCCTCTGAAGCTCTTTGTCAACCTGGGGCAAAGCTCTGCCATCTCCTGTGCTCAGAGCATCGGCTTTTTTAGACCGACGAGGCGCTGATTGTGTCCTCGTAGACACCGCGGGCCCGGCAAACTCAAAGGAAATGTCCTCCTCGTCCACATAGACCAACTCCGTTTCTATGTCCATGATGCTTTTCAGGGGATTATGAGGCAGAGATGTCGGGATTAGTGGATTGTCAGTCTCTGATGTTGTTTCTTCTTTTTTGGCAGCCGGTCCTTCATTGTTTTCTGATTTCCGCTTACGGCTTTTTTTCTCTACGTCATTACTTTGCTTTCCCTTTTTTTCTCCCTTTTTCTCTGCCATTTTTATTCTCTCTCTCTTCTTTTTTGCTGCTCCATCCCCAAGGTGTTTTTCGACCTCTTGCCTTGCTTTGGGAATATCATTCAATTTATTTGTTGCTACCTTTGACTTCTTACTACTACGTATTTGCTGAGAGGTTTCATTCTTGCCATCCATGCTTGTGAGATTTTTTTGGAAGTTCACGTTGCTTCCTGATGCCATGACTTGAGCAAAGAAAGAGTCCTAGGAGAAAATGAACAGTTAAGAATACCTAAATGTTGCAAAGCCAATAAAAGCATGCAAATTCTTTCTCCACCAGGTGTATTGTAGGCACCTTTATGAGAGAACACTCTTCAATCAGTTAGCACACAGAGTATCAGGCTTGCTGTAATTATTTTATCTTTCTTGTGTAGTAGTTTGAGGCATCATAAGTATTTTTGATAGCTCTTGAAAATGGGTATTTGTTCATGTAAAGTAATGCCAGTGTATCGCTTTGTTACGTCTGCAATAAGAAGGGAAAATCTGGCTCTTAAGAGAAAAACAACCAAACCCCTGTGACTGATGGACTTGCATTGTATGTTGTTACGGGGTGCAAAAAAAATCACTGTGGCCTGATTTTTGAGAGCTGGTGAGCACACTGACTGAGGTTAGAGAGGGATGTTTGAAAATCAGCAGAGTGGATGTTTGCCAGAGGGGCACAAGCTCCAAACCGCATTTGAGCAAAATTCAGATCTGGATTTGGGTTTTAAAGCCATTTCTCATTGAACCGTCTGCAAACGACATGCGTGTTGGTAATAACAAGTAACCCTCTCCCGGTAGTTTAACAGCCTAATTCTTGGTTCAGGGAACTGCTAGTGGATCCAAATTGGTACAAAAAGGTGCAAGTCAAGTTCGGAAGCCTCCTCTCAACACCAGCTCCAGTGCAATAGGAAAGGTGACTTGAGCTGCACTATAAACTCATAATTGCCCTCAGATTCAGTGGAAATGCTGATTTTCATCTGCCCCTGCTGACTTCACAGTGAAAAGGTGGAAGGCACGGCTAATTTTCTTCTCTGGTTTTCCATCAATTAGGAAAAGTTTAATTGTAAATAGCTGTAATGATGTCTGTCTTTCAGAATGGTTTGTTGAGCATAAACACTCAGCTTTTAACCTTGTGTTGCAGTTTAACAGACCTCCATATGTTAGTACCAGTTTAATGTACTCAACTGCAGGTACAGATTGTACAGAGGGAAGATACGTATTAAACGCATTTCTGTTTGGCCAGAAACAGATTTTAAGCAATAAGCAACTTGGATTTTAGTGAGGGCTCTTCAGTGTGGGCTATTGCACTTGTAAAAGCTGCTGGAATGTGTCCTGGATGCTGTGGAACGATGAACCCTTACTGTTTAGGGCAACAGGCAAAAATTTATAGAAGAGGATAAGGGGAAGAGGCAAAGGCATTTTAAACCATATGAGAAGCTGATACCAAATTTTAATCTAAATAGGGTTTCAAATCTTTGTCATGTTTCCCCTCCTCCCCTGGCTAAACCAGACTGCAGCCAGCTCTGTCACCAGCCCTGAAGCAGGGAACTTGTTGATTTTTTTTTTTTTTTTTTTTTTTTGCTCACAACCTCCAGGCTGAAAACTTTATTGTAGCAGAACTGCCTGTGGAGAAACTTATTCCCCTTTCCATGACTGCGAGAGAAGGAGCGAAAGGTGAGGGGATAATTGTGTGATTTAAAGTAATTTCAGCAGACTTTTTTTCAGCAATGTGCTGAGCAATCACAACTCCTACTGAGTTCAATGGGGATGGAAAACCACTGGCCCTTCCCAGATAGTGCTCCACACTTGTCAGAATAGAGCTCAAAGGAATCATATTTATAGCAAGCTATTTTGAATGGCAGCAGTAAAGCAGCTGGAAAAGGCTAATGTACTTGCATCTGGCAGCAATTTTACCTGTTTGTAAGACATTCAATCCCTTTTTAAAACAAACCATAGCATAGCCTAAAGATTGGAAGCCGCGTTTTTCAGTGCTGGCTTCAGCACTAGGTAATTTAGGAAATTATGATTTATCTTCACTGTGCAGCAGAGCAGAGATAGTCTAGCCAGCCCTAGCACCAGCTGAGGGGATGAGCCTGATCATGCTGGTGCCATGTCATGCCAACATAATGGTCACATACAGGACTTGTGATGGATCTCCATGTGGCCCCACAGTAGACGGCTACCTGAGGTTCTGGAGGGGCAACACAGGACTTTCATAGCCTCACGGGTGGGCTGTTTACTGAAGGTTCTGTAGAACTCTAGAAAATGAGATTTAAGTGCCTACATCAGATACAAATTTGTAGAAATTTTCCTCTGAGCAGCCGTGTAGGACTGAGGAGCCCTTGAGGAAAATCAATGGACTCTTCTCACCAGAAAGCTCACAAAGGCAAAGCCCTATATCTGACAGGGTTGACATCAGCATGAATGGGAAATTGGCTGGACCAAACTGTTTGCTATGAGACTGACTTAACAAGGTTAAAATAATTTAATATGGAATAAAAAGCAACCCTAAAACCAGAGCATAAACTGTGAAATACAGACCAGTAATTCTTTAATTGCTTATGGATATTTTTCCAGTGGACCAGCACCTGAAATGATCTCTGCTGTATCAACTGGATTTAGACTGCTCCTATTGTATTTTTAGGTATTCAAACTGATTAACTCGACTTTAGGTTGTGCAATGGAAGCACGTTATAACTCAGGCAGGCTCACTTTAATCACTGCCTCAATAAAAAAACACTTCCAGGGAAAAGCTTTTAGAAAATCATTATCTTTGTCAGTTAAGTATTTTCCTGAGACTTTGGTTAAAATGTCTGTTTTTTATTTTGGAAGCGTTTACTGTAAAATGCTTCTAATGAATCACTATGCAGGGGAACATAGCTAGACAATTTAGCTCTATAGTCAGAAGGAAACTGCTCTAAATTTGTGAGCTCTCAGGAATGATCTTCCTGATTAGTCATAAGCCAGTTCAGCTTTTTGCTTATTTGAGGGCTGAACTTTGCTAAGAGACCTCTCTGTTCAAGGCACAGCCAGTTACTACAGCCAAGTGTTTTGTTGGGTCTGTCGGTGAAGAAACCACATCTCTTCAAATGGAGAGATGGGTTACATGAAAAGAAGAAACATAAGATCATTTATCTTTTAAAATCTTCTGGTTTTGTCTGTTGATTTCCCAAGGTCTCTAAGAAAACCTTCTTGGGGAGAGTGGCCTGCCTACTAGATAACGTAAACTTCCTTATGTGCATGATCTTATGAACCCTATTACTTATGCTTTTTGTTCTGTATCTAGTTTGATTCTGCTTTCAACACCTTCTTCCATTATCTCACATCAGATTAGAGAGGAACCTGCTGATAAATCACACTGGCACTTCAGCTGGCACCTAGTTGTTAAATTCTTTGCCAGTTCTTTGATGAGCTCTTTTTTTTCCTTCAGAATTTAAACTTTGATTTCAACCAGAAAAGCTTTTGCCCTTACAGTTGTGAAGTAAAACCTTTCTAAACACCAAAGACTGCAGCGCTGCCTTCCTTAATCTGCATATAGCAAGGCAGAACCAGTGGGCTACGTTCAGCATTGATTTTAGTGGAGGGCAGGGAGAGAGGAATTTCTTCTAGCAGTTCTCAGAGGGGATTAAGCTGCCTTGAAACTGAACCATCAGATTGCTGCTACCGGCTCTTTGAGACGTGAATTCTGTGGGGCTGCACTTCAGAGAGAGGTCTGTTTCCCTATTTCAGTAAAATCTTTCAGCAGACAGCAGAAGTCACTGTTTCTGAGGATCACAGCTGCCTTTCATGGCAGAGGCTGTAGAGAGAGAAGCAAATTCAAGGAGAGATTCCCCAGTGCTGGCCTGCTGGATCCCAGGCTTTCATGGTTTGGTGGTCTAGAGGGGTGGTACAGCTCTAGGAAGCAGAAAGGGGACTCAGTGATTATTTTTCCTACTCTGAACAAGTTTCCTTACAGTGACCACTCGACAGCTGTGTCCACCTGGACCCGTGCTCTGACATTGAATGCACCCTACCAACCCCTTGCTAAAACTCAGAGACAAATTAAGCATCAGATCGGGAGAGAACAATAATTCTCCTTCCCCCCCCTACCCCGATCAAAACTGGCAGAGATTTCTGTTGTCGCTGTTATGTTTTATTTTCACTTCCTCTGCAGCATAAGGTACAAGCTGCCTCGTTCGGGATGGTCTGGCTGTACCTCAGCTGCTGTCCCAGAAGCTCTAGTCATTAGTGGTCCATCTGTATTTTGTGCTCTCTGCTGTGAATGTTCAACACTGTGCGGTTTCTAGAGGGATAACATCACAACATTTTTCAGCCAGAGCGTGACTGTATCTGCCACACACACGGATTTTATGCAAAGATGCCCCATCTGTCTTTCAGCAACTCACTTGGGTACCAGCAGCAGCAGAGTTGTGTTAGCCTGGTCCCCCTCCAAGGCTAATTCACCCTGCTAGAAGATACATATAAAGACAACTGCTGTATTGGTATACGACTTAGACAGTGATGGGACTTTTCCAGAAAGTTATAGGAACCAAACTCTTTCATCTATAATAGTCTTTTTCTCCCAGAAGGCCATTTGAATTCACAGGGCAGTTATCTGTTACAGTTCATTTCAGTGCAAATGTTGGATCAGACAAAACTGCATCCAAAACTATGGAGCAAGTGTAAGAAAATTATACCACTGGTACTTGTACGAGTGTTATCCCACTCCTTCAATGTCCTCTAGTACAGACAGAGAAATATAGTACTATAAAAAACACATCCAAAGCCCCACAACAGATAGGTCATTAGCTGCCCTCCTCTATAATAATTTCACTTATATTGAATTCCAGATATCCTGATCCATCTCGAAGGTGAGGATGTTCCAGTTTTATCACTTAAAAATGAAGCGAGATTTATCTGTATTAGATTTACAGATAGACTTTCTGAATGAGCGTGTGCACCAACAGCAGCTACGCTGAGATCCGAACTGGAGATTTTTCCAGTCCATCTTTCAGCGGGATGACTTTTTAAGCACTTCCTTTACTGCTGAATACCACAAAGGCTCAGACAATCTATTGATGACGAAGGTCAGCACCTTCTTAGCAGCCCATAAAGTGAGTCTCTCACAATCAGGTTGCAGACTTTTTAAGATTCTAGCCATTTCTTTAGGCAATGAAGCAACCTAGTTCTTTTATCTTCCTATTTTTATTGTTTGAAAGCCTGAGTCACATATGATCTTTTTT